GAGGAGACCTCTAGTGGTGAACTAGTGAATTTATTGCCAAGAAATTTTTTAAAACCACTTAACAACAAACTAGAAAATAAACAATGCTAAACAAGAGCCATAAATAATCCAGGAATTCAAATTAGTAAACACATACTAGAGACAGCATATAAGGAGGTGGGTAATAGGGGGTGGGAGGGAGAGGATCAGGGAAAAAAAAAGATTTAATAGACACAAAAATGAAAAGTTATCTGTTGATGATCATGTATATGGTAATTTGGTCTTTGACTTGACTAATATGTACCATATTCATGCTGGGAAAAAACCATGCTGAACATTGTAAAGATGTGCAATGATTAAATATAAACAAAACATAAATAGATAAAATGGCTATAGAAGCCATGTATAAAAGCCAGAACAAATTAGTAAACAACAACAAAAAACTTCTATATTAACATGGCTTACAGTCATGAGCTTGGAACAATATTTATAAACATTGCAATTATGTTTGTAACAGAGAAGCCCAGACCTCTCACTGCTATTCAAAATAGGACATAAAGGAAGTGTCTTATGAGTAGGTTTGTGTTTCCCTGTTCAGTAATTTTTTTACAGTGGAAGTACTGAGTTTGTATTTTTAAAAAAGTTCTTTTATTGAAAGAGAGAAAGAAACAACCTCAACAGGGTCTCATGCTGGGGTCTCATACTCCTGGCTTTCCCAGGCAACCAGGACATGAGCACACACCCGGCATGCACACGTGGACCTAGGAAACGAACCCACATCTTACATATGGCTTCTAGCAGTGCAGAACTGTGCCACTGCTGCGCCACTGCAGCTCAGCCCGACTCTACATTTTTACTTGTTATCTATTCCAGACAGCTCTCACTGTTGCAGTCCCCTACTTTAGCCTCCCAGCTGGGACAACTGGCACGTGGCACCATGCCCGGCTCTTTCAGACAGGGTCTTACTACGCTGCCCAAGCCAGCGTCGAATTCATGATTCTCTTGCTTCAGCCTCCTGAACTGCTGGGATTATGGGCCCATGGCACTGTACCATTCCACGGAACCCAGACTTCCCATGTGATTCCAGCCTGCGAACGTGCCAAGGTGGCTGAGCCCTGATTTTGTATTTTAAATGCAATTATTAGAGGGTGATTCAAAATGACGGCTAACTTGGCAGTCAAAAAGACCAAACTGTGCTAGTCCCATAGCCCAGTGGTGAAGGGATCCCACATGGCCAACTTCAGTTCAAATCCTGGCCCAGAGGCTTGAAATACATGCCAGAGGCATGTGTGTGCACACCCTAAATCACAACGATGAGAAACGGAGGAGGAGGGATTGCGGCGTGACCACATCCCTGTTGGGAGGCATTTCCTCCCTCTCTCTCTGTCTCTCTGTTTCTCTTTGGTGAGTATAGATGCCTTTCCTAGGGAGAAAAAAACTTAACTAGCTCCTGACAGTGGTAAAATAGGGAAAGCGGGATGGGGTGGCATCAGAATAGGGAAGTTTTTCTCTAAATGACAACCCCATTTCACTGTGAATCCCCATATTAATTCCAGTTCTTCTTCCTAAAATGCGTAGAATTTAGTGATTTAGACCAACAGGGCAATTCATCAGCAATCGGAAGCAAAGGTCTCGAAAACTATTCTTAGGCCAATATCAAATTACACTCACCGAACTCATTTCTCCTAAGTTCCGAACTAGATGTACAAAGGTAAATATGACTTCACAACGAAAAGGGTGGTGTTAAGAATGTAAGTGTCTCTGGGGCCAGCAGGTGGAGTGGTGGTTAAGGGTGCTGGACTCCCACATGACTGACCGCGGTTTGAGTTCCAGACCTGGCGGCTTTGCTTTCTCACTCTCCCTCTCTTTCTCTCTCACTCTGTCCCTCTCTGGGCAAATTAAAATAAATAAATAATAGAGTTCAATAAAAAATAATTCTTAAAAAGAAAAACAAAGAATGTAAGTGTCTCTAGTCAGACATTGTAGGACATATGGATGCAATGATTTGAAATTATTTACCTAAGACAAATTACTGTGGTCAAATCTTAGGCGGGGGAGGTGAACAGAGAAAAATCATATAAAAAGAGTATGTGTATTTTGAGTTCTTTCACCATTGCTAAACTAAGGAGCACATGCTCAAAATCACATGGTAGTAAAAAAATCACAACTGTAGTTTCAGTTGGCCCATGGAAGTCTGGTCACAGCCCCTGGAGGATATAACTGTATTTGGACCAGCGACAAATCAACTTCATCCTGTGTATACTAAAAAATAACCATCTCTACCATATACCTATTGAAATGGTTAAAAAAAAAGTTACTGAAACACTCTGGTGGCAATGAGGAAAAACTAGATCACTCAAACATTGCTGGTGGAGTGTAAAATGATACAACCAATTTGGAAAACAGTTTGGCAATTTCTTACAAAATTTAGTATGTGCTTACTACGTGACCCAGTAACTAGACTCGAAGGCACTCATCCTAGAGAAACAAACACAGGTTCACACAATAAGCTATACACTAATGTTCTTTTTTTTTTTTTTTTTTTTTCGAGAGAGGTATTTCTGCTATAGGGCACGTGTGCTCAATGGAGAGACAGAGACAGAAAGCGAGAAATCACCCCCCCCGGGGGGGATGGACACACCGCAATCCTTTCTCCATTCTCTTCCTGTGATCTTAGGCACATGCACACGTGTGCCTGGTGTGAGGTGTTTTTTTGTGTTTGTTTTTAGCAAGATTTTTGCTATAGGGCATGTGTGCTTGCCAGAGAGACAGACAGAGAGAAAGTGAGAGTGAATTTTAAGCAGCTGGGTCTGGGACTCAAAAAGCTGGGGACTACGTGGGAGTCCAGTGACGTAACCATTATGCCATCTGCTAGTCCCTAAGAACAATAATGTTCTTAACAGCTTTATTCAAAGCAGTTAAAAATTGGGAACAACTCAAATGTACTTCACAGGGTGAAAGTTTAAGCATACTGTAGTACATCCACATTATGGAATGCTATTCAGTAATAAAAAGAAACAAATCAGGCAACAATCAGGATGGCTCTCAAGGGATTATACTGAATGAAAAAAGCCAATCCCTAGAAGTTACATACTATATAGTTACATTTATGTAACATTATTGAAATGATACCATTTTAGAGAGGAAGAAAAAAATGCAGAGGGGATTGCAAAGGACAGCTGTGCTTTATACTGTGGAACTGTGCTGTATCTTGATTGTGAGAGTGGATACAAAAGTCTACACACGTGATAACAGTTACATAGAATTAAATACACAGAAATGTAAAACTGGGGAATTCTGAGTTAGATCAGTGGGCTGTGTCGATGACAATGACCTGGCTGTGATACTGTAGTTTTCACAAGATGTCTGCTGGGCAGTCTGTGTAAAGGAAGTGCAGGGTCTCTACTACTTCCTTCCAAATGCAGTTACAGACAATAACATAAAAACAACTGTATTTTGGGGGGCCAGCAGATGGCATTATGGTTCTGTCGCTGGACTCATGGCCCAATGAGTCCCAGACCCAGAGGCCTTGAACTCACAGCTGGCACTCTTGCATGCTCAAAATCCCAAGAGGAGAATGGACAAGGCATGACGGTGTGGCCGTCCCCCTTCGGAGGTGATTTCTTGCTTCCTGTCTCTGTGGCTCTCCCGGGAGAGCACATGCCTTATAGCAAAAATCTTTCTTAAAGGAAAAAAAAAGGTTTTTTTTTTCTTTTTTTTCATTTGCGATGAAAGCAGGCATCATTGTTTTCACAATTAAAGCAAGATATGTACTACTGTCCTGGCGGTTGTACCTAATGCTTCACTAGGGGAACATCTAAGGAGCTATTTCAGGTAACCTGCTCAACAGCTCTATAAAGGAGACCCTGCTATTATTCCTGGTTCACAGGGGACGTTTTGAAGAGGTCAAACTACTTCCTTGAGTCACTTGTCTATGGACTAGAATCAAAAGTCAAACAGGTAAAGTCCTTCCAGTAAGAAAGTGGTATCATTCTATTTTTGTTCTGGTCTGATCTTAAAATTTAAAACATGCCATCAAGCACAGACAACAGGTGTTAAATTGGCACGATGACAGAATCACATAATTTGACAGAATCTGAAGATCCTTTAGGATTATGTGGCCATCGCTATCATTTTACAGTTTTAAGAAACAGGTAAGGTGAACTGCACATGTGAGTTGCTGTTCCGAGACCCGCAGAGAATCATTTAAATGGCATCTCGGTCCAGAATTTAAGAAAGGATACGGATTGCTAAACGATCGCAGGGCAGAACTATCTGGTTCATCCCATACCCAGAGCCCGGTCCAAAACAGAGCAGGCGCTGGATATTTACAGGACAAACCGGTGCTCGAACGCGTGGCCCGGCCAGCAGCCCCACAGAAGTCCAGAGGGCTGCAGGCTGTCAGCGTGGCGGTCCGAACGGCCGGGTCGGGGCGAAGGCCGGTCCGGTGCAGCCTAGCCGGCGCCCAACATGGGCCTCCCGCAGACCGCAGGCGGGCCGGGCCGGGGCTGGGAGGCCTCTGGGCCGCCCCAACAGGAGTTTTCACAGTATGACGCCCGGGTTTTCTCCTGCGGCCCAAGTTCGCTCGGCGCGAAGGTCAGGTTAGCGACTTGGCGGGCCAGCTCGGTCAGCCCAGCATCCGGAGAAGGGGAAGGGCAGAGCGTAACCGCCACCCTGGTCCCGCCCCGCGCCGGGCCTAGCTCCGTTACTCACGGCGTCGGAGGGAGGGAGGGAACCAGCTACCCCGCGTCGACGCGCGCCGACCTGCCTGTCGCCCAGCGCCGCGCGCCACAGCGCCGCGCGCCACCATTGGCCAGCGGCGCGCTCCCACGTGGGGCGAAGACGCGCGCCTCATTGGCCCCTGCGTAGGAGGCGGGGCCTAGGAGCACGGCGGCCTCTCTGCCTTAAGGGCCGCCTTTGGGGGGCTGAGGAAGGCCGGGGAGGGGGCGCAGGCGATGGCGCCGGCGCTGCGTTACCTGGGCGGTGCCTGCAGACTGGCCCGCGGAGGTTTCTCCCGGGGGTTCCCCGGGGCGCACGGCCCGGCGTCGGCGCGGTGCTGGCAGGGCGCGGCGTCGGCGAGGTCCTGGCGGCTGTGCGGGGGTGGCCGCAGCGCTAGCACCAGGTGAGTGCTGCCGCGCGGCCGCTGCTCCCAGACGCGCCTCGTGCTGGACTTGCCCTGCGCGTACTTTCCTGTCCTGCGCGGGGGAGAAGGTCGGATGCTGTAGAGCTCCAAACCGTGGATCCCAGGAGCTGCCAGTCTGCAGCGGCTCACTGGTGTATTTATGGGCGGGAGCGAAGGCGGTGTGGAGTAGAGGTCAAAAGCACTTCTGGCTTGAATACAACCCCTTTACTTACTGTTCCATTCTGGGTGCTTACTTAACCTCCTTTGAGGCTCGGTTGGAACGAGGGTCTTAATCTCTCCTGTAGGGTCGTTTTGAGGATGAGAGGACCTAGCGCACTATAAGCCGTCAAACGGATTTATTAGTGGGCAACCCTCGTGTCGCTTGAAAGACTGAACCGATCTTAAATCCATCCAGTTCCTGGCGTACTCGCCGGAGTTGCACCTGTGAGAAGCAGCCCAGTGGCTAATCGAAGCCTGTAGAATTAAGTGTCCTGTGATTTGAAGTTTGGTGGTCACATTCGAAACCAGTTTTGCAGCTCTTTAGAGGGAACAGTTTGTGCGAAGGCTCTAAGGCTGGAAAGCTTTTGGCTATTTCAAGGACTAGAAGGTGGGCAGTGCGAGTGCGACTGAAGCTCAGAGGGAGACAGATGGTGTGCGATGACACCGGAGAGGAGCTACATCTCAGCATGCTTTTTATTTTATTTTAACCTCACGTTGAAACGTATTCTGAGAACCATAGGAAGCTACTTACAGGGTTTTAAGAAGGGAGGTGTGATTAAATGTTGGTGTTTCAGTAGTTAGCTCTGGCTGCTCTAAGTTTGTGGATTGGAGGGGGGTTAGAGCAGTATGTATTGTAATAGCGTTTGTGATTTGTTGTGGGATATGTAGACAGTTATTTTGAAAAGCTTTCTTCAGGGAGGAAAAGTAGAGTTAGTGAACATTTTGTTCATACTTTTTACTTAAAAATAATCATAGATCCATAGGAAATGGCCAAAAAAAAAAAAAAAAAAAGGTACAGAGAGGTCCTATATACCCTTCACTGATTAGCCCAGTGATAACATCTTAGGTAACTATAGTACAATATCAAAACCAGGAAATTTATACTGGCACAGACCTTGTTCAGATTTCATCAGTTTTACATGCATTCATTTGTGTGTGTGTGCACGCATGTATGTGTACATGTGTAGTTCTGTGCAAGTTAATGTTTAATCTGTGTAATTACCACTACTACTAGGATGTAGAGATGTTTCACTGCCCCAAAGATACCCTTTGCATTACCTGTCCCTTTACGGTCACACCCTGCCTCTCTACCTTTCCTAACCTGAGGCAGCAGCTGTCTGTTGTCTATCACTGTACTTCATTTTTAGTTTGCCAGGGGTATATACACTTGTCAGAGAGAGACAGAAAGAGGGAGAAGGAGGAGGCACCCCCCATGGAGTGTCATGTTCTAATATCTTATTCATTTTTAAAAGAATTAATTTATTATTATTATTATTATTATTATTATTTATGTTTGAACAGAGAGAGGGAGAGAGAGGGAAAGTGAGAAAACAAGCCGCCACCAGGTCCAGGACTTGAATGGTGGTCAGCCATGTAGGAGTCCAGCACCTTAACCAACATGCCACCTGGTGACCCTTTTCTCCATTTCTGTATCCTTTATTGTCAGGGTTTGAGGCAAGCACCCACATGTACCAAGCATTTTTTTCTTATACCCACTGGGGGTTGAGACTTGAAACTAGCAGTCAGCCATGTGGGATCTGGCTCCCTTGACCACCAGGCCTCAGGGTTGGCCCTGTAACTTTGTCATTTTGAAGACTTGTAAATGGACTCATGAAGTATGTATCTTTTGAGATTGGCTTTTCTCATACCACATAACATCACTGAAATATGTCCAAGGTGTTGCCTATATTGATGATGGTTTTTTTGTTTTGTTTTAGTTTGCTATAGGACATGTGTGCTCTCTGGGCCAGATATGGAGAGAGAGGGAGAGAAAGAGAAAGTGAGAAGCATCCCCGGGGGGTATGGCCATGCTACAATCCCTTCTTCATTCTTCTGTCAGGATTTTAAGGATGCACATGCACACACCCTGCAGCTGCCCGGTCTGGGACTCAAACTTTGAACTGCACAGTGGCCATGTGGGATCCAGCTCCCTTAACCACCATGCCACTGACTGGCCCAATAGTGGTTTTTTAAAAAATTGTTGAGTAGTGGGGCCAGCAGATGGCATAGCAGTTACATTGTTGGACTTCCACATGGCTAACCAGGGTTCCAGTCCTGGACCCAGTGCCTTGAAGATCACATTGGATGTGTGTGCGTGTGTGCCCCAGATCCAAAGGATAATGGAAAAGGGATTGCAGTGTGGCCATCCCTCCTGGGGGGAGTGATTTCTCACTTTTGGTCTTACTGTCTCTGTCTCTCCAGTGAGTGCACGTGCCCTAAGATAAAAATCTCTTAAAAAACAAACAAAATTGCTGAGTAGCATTCCATGGTATGGGTACCTTGCAGTTTGTTTAGCTGTTTACCAGTTGAAAGACATTTGGGCTGCTTCCAGTTTTGGGGTTCTTAGGAATTAAAACTGCTATGAACATTCATGTTTTCGTTGTTGTTGTTAGAAAGATTTTTGCTATAGGGTACATGCATTTGCTGGAGATACAGAGAGACAGAAAGTGAGAAATCATCCCCCGGGGGGATAGCCATGCTGCAGTCCCTTCTCTTCTTGGGATTTTGGGCACACACACATACGTGTGTGCCCGGCATGAGTTTTAAGCTGCTGGGTCCGAGACTAAAACTAGTCGACTATGTGGGAGTCCAGCGATACAACCATTACACCATCCCATGTACAGGTTTTTGTACTGATATACATTTTCATTTCTCTGGGGCAAATGCCCAAGAATGTACTTGCTGAGTTATGTAGCAAGTGCATGTTTAGGTGTTTTGTTTTTATTTTTTTCTTTTTTAAAAGAATTATTTATTTATTTATTTAATTACATTTATTATTATCATTTTTAAATTTGACCAGAGAGAGACAGAGAAAGCAAAAGTGAGAAACCAACCCATCAGATCCAAGACTGGAAGCACACTCAGCCATGTGGGAATCCAGTGCCCTAAACACCATGCCACCTGCTGGCCCTGCATGTTTAGGTTTTAAAGAAACTGCCCATACTCTTGCAGAGAGCAGCTGTACTCTTTTATATTCCCCACAGCCATATGTGAGTGATCCATTTTTTCTTCATGCTCACCAGCATTTGGTGCTTTGTTTTAGCCATCCTGATAGGAGTATAGCGATATCTCATTGTGGCTTTAATTTGCATTTCCCTAATGCAGTGATTAATAGTGGAATATCTTTTCATGTGTTTATTTTATTTATTTATTTATTTATTTTTGGAGAGGTTTTCGCTACGTGGGAGTCCAGCGACATAGCCATTACACTAACTGCTGGCCCCTTTTCATGTGTTTATTTGTCAGCTGCATAGCTATTCTTTTTTCAATTTGTGAAGTTTATTTACTTATTTCTTCTGTGAGAAAGTCAGAGGCACAAAGACAGCCACCCCCCTACAGAGTCTTCACACCACGATCCATCCCTAGTGTCAGTAGTCAGTAGCCTGGATCACTGGCACATGTGTGCATTTAATGTGTTCTGGGCGATTCCAGGATATAAACCCAGTACCTTCACCTCGTGGGTCCAGTCATATCATCACTCTGCTACCACCTGACCCTGTCCTCTTTGATCAAATGTCTGTTCACATATTTGGTCTATTTTCAAAGTGGATTATTTATATTTTGAGAGTTATTTACATATTCTAGGTAGGATTTATGTTTTTTTTTTTTTTTTTTTTTTTTTTTTCCCTTTGGGGCGGGTGCCCCCCCCAGACAGAGAGG